CGATCTATTTTACTAACAAAATCTCACAAGAATTTGAAAAATATCACAAGAGTTTGTAACAGAACGATGAAATTTCACGATATCAGACAGGAACAGGCACGCTCAGTGGTTGAGAGGCAGAAAAGGTCAGGATCATGAAATCAGAAACACCAAGGCACTCTAAAAACACACTCCCCATTGGCTAGACAGAACAAAAATAATCTGGTCCTGATGACTGGATGCAAGCTTCTTAAATAGAGGCAGGAGCAGGTGGATCAGTGATGAGGGGCAGAATTTGGTGAATCGGTGCCAAGATCATGGCACATTCTGCCTCACAGGAAACTCAACATAGGGACCAGCGTGAACGTTCACTTTAACTGGATGTTGTTTCTACCAACAGCTCAGGCGGATCTGGAAACAGACGAGGTGGTTCCCAAGCTGCTATCCAGGCAGGAGGTGTATCTGTCAGAGGATCCTATCTACAGGCTACGACGCCATCACCAATGGCCCCTGGATTTCTCGAGTAAACAACATTCTGTGGCAGAGAACCTTATTGTGTCGCTGTCGGCTTTTGGAAGGAGTCTATATCTTAACTTAACGAGAGACCTCAAAATTCTTTCCAGAGACTTTGTTGTAGAGGAAAGGCTAAGGAACCAAAGTGTAGTAGTCAGACCCTTTTCCATGAAGCAGCTCTGTTTGTACTCTGGCTTTATCATCAACCATACAGACTCTCTGGCATCACTGAGCACCTGTGGCGGTTTGGTAAATCTATCTTTTGTTTTTGGTTAACTGATATGGTTTTAACTTAATTCCATCGTGAATCAGATAAAGTAATTTGGAGAGAATTTTACACTAAGCAGCATGATAGAAACATGACACACAGTTAAAGCCCTTAGTATTTCTATCGTTTTTATTTACCAACATGTGTCTTCTGTCTGGGAGTTTCATTAACATTTGGAGCGCAAAAAACGCTGTTTTCTGCCTTTAAAGGATTGATTTCTCTAATACCCCCATTTTTTTGTTGTTGTTGTTACTGAGTAGGAGTTAAATGTTTTCTATGAAGATAAAGTGGGACAATGAAATTACTCAGAAATATTTTATATAAACCAAAGAAAAATTAAAATATTTGGATAAAAAATATTTGGAAACAAAAAAAAAAGATTTGAAGCAGAAAATAAATGTTTACATTTCTTCTCAGATTCAAACAAAGGCAGCCAACTCTCCACACCCCATTTCCCTGCCTTCACTCACTGAGAGGCCAGCAATTTTAATCTCTTTGTCAAAAAAAATATTTATTTTGTTTCCCTTTTTTTCACTTTCAAAATTAACTTTCAGATTAAAGTAGTTTTTTCTAGTTTCTAATTCTTTTCTGTTTAATTTCATTTTTTTCTTGTGAATGTCTTCAAAATGAATCTGGAAACTAGAAAACCATTTGAAACTCAAAAGAAATATTTAAAACTTCTCATGTAAAAAAAAATGGCAGAAACTCTGGCAATAGTGCCGCCGACAATGCCTGGCACACCTCGGACACTATCCCAGGCACTGTGCAGGATGCTAGTTTGTAGCTCTGTGTGACGGTCTGTTGGTTTGCGAGACCGAAGCCAAAACATGCAGCACCACAGCCAGTCTTTCAGCAACACCCATGGGTGAACTATGTGTGGTCTGGCGTTGGATGAGGGGTTGTAGACTGCAAAAGGCTCGTCAAACCAACGCACAGACATCCACGATGCTAGCTAGTTCATGATTGTCCCTCTTGTGTTGTGGTGTGGAATAACATAGCTCAAACTAGGCTTCAAAATTTGGCTTAAATCAAAAATATCTGCGTCATACCTGCGACAAGCTAACTGCGACACACTGCTGCGGGAATGTACACAGCCCTTTAGGGCATAGAAATGACTGACGATGACCGAATATCAATGGGAGTAAATGGTGCTCACTGCACACATGTAGCGAATATAGCAGGACAAGAAAGAAAGTGTGAATGTGTATGGTTGTATGTCTCTATGTTGCACTGCGATGGAGTGGTGACCATTGCAGAGCTATTAGAGAGGCACTGGCCCTACCATGACCCTGATGGAATAAGCAGGAGAGGATGGATGGATGGATGGATGGATGGATGGATGGATGGATGGACGATGATGGAGGGATGGACGGATGATGGATGGAGGGATGGATGGATGGATGGACTCGAAGACCAAAAACATTGAAAGGTGAGGTAAAGCTTACTTTCAAAAATGTCCTTTTGTAGTTCTAGTTCCATCCATCCATTAATTCTCTTAACTTTATAAATAACTGTTGCTTAGTTGCTGAGTGGTTGGTCCCTACTTGAAGACATGGTCCACCCTTAACAGTCTCGTCTTCCATCACAGGGCGACACAGAGACACACAGGACCGACAACAAATGGAAGCATACAGACACCTGAGGGAGGTTTAGAACAACCCATTAACCTAACATCCACGTTTCTAGATGTTAAGGAGAAACAAGAGGAGAGCATGCAAACTGTATACACAACCCAGGAAATACATTTGCTCCCCTTTCAGTCCATTCTATGCACAAACCGCTGCCATTAAAAGTTAGACACAAGAAGCTGACCTACAGCTCCAGGACTTTTTTTTCTTTTTCTTTTGACTCTAGAAGCATCTCCTTGTCATAGACGTTTCACCTGATAAATATTTTTGCACAGACTGGGCTAATTCAGATTGGGGAAGACAGCCTGTTCATCCAGCCGCTGGGTGAACATGATCCGTCACATTCGTTCTCTGGAATCAAACACCAGCTGATCCGACATCGCTGCTCACCAAAGAACAACCCTGGGCAATGTGCTGGCCGGCCCGTCAACTGTGGGACCATCGAAGGTAAGAGGCCCTGTTAGAGACTGCATAGAGATTCTATATGTAGTGTGGTACGTCTGTGTACAACAGCAGCAATGATCAATGGTAGTAACAAACAGTAAACCATGTGGTTAATGTTCCCCCGGGCCTTTAACCTTATCGAACTCAATCAACTATCAGCTTTCAACTACCTCCAGGTACCTGTGTTCTGACAGCTTAGCATACCGCGTCAGGCCAGCATACCCATAGTAATATGCGTTACATAGAGTGTCCTCTGTCTCCACTCTCTACCGCCAATTACGCTGTTTTATTTCCCGATTTAGTCCGATTTTTGTCTTAGTTTTGTGCATAAAACAACAAAAAAGGTCCACCACCACACACATTAGTTTAAAAAAAAAATACATGTCTATGGATCTTATTAAAGAATAATCTACAATTTTTCACTGAGGATTTAATATTTATAGGGAGAGGATTCTACAACCCAGTGACAGGAAAGGAGATTTATTTGCTTTTAGTTTGTTTAACATGAAAGACATGTGGATCATTTTTATTTATGTTTACAGCACATGAACTATTTTCAGATTACACGTAAATAGATTAATTAATTCCATGGGGGAAAAGAAATTACTTTAGGTATAGGATTAAGTTTCACACGATAACAACCCAATGACCCTACTGGCACAATCTGAAGCCATTCTGTGGGACTGATAACCGCTAATAACAGTCATGGGCACATGAGCTGTACAAATAAATTAAAATTATTGTTTAAAAAAACTTTAAACTTTAAAATATTTTTAAAGTAGTAGGGAAGTTCCAACCATTCCATTTC